ATTTCAGTTGCTGTTTTATTTACGTATTTAAGGGCTTTCTTAAGAGGTTGGTATCAGGATCAATGCATCTTTAATACGAATATTGTATTTTAAAGTTGGAAAAATTACCCACAATAGTTAGGTAAAATGGGCACAATTGCAACTAAAGTACAAATTTTTTTGGGCAACGTTTCGCTCTCCAGGAGCTTTATCAACTGGGAAAAATTTCGATTTGGCTCTTCCCTTTCTGAATTTAAAAAAAGCTATAATTTGTGTACCTGGAGTTTACCTGGAGAATTTCCGGGGGGCAAAGCCCCCCCCCCGGCCCCCGGGGCCCCCCCCCTGGGGGGCCCCCGGCCCCCCGACCCCCTCCCGGTTTTTCGGCCAAGCAAAACCGGGCGGGGGGACCCCGGCCCCGGGTGACCCGGGAAACCCAAATTTAAAGGGGGGCCCAGGCCCGGGGATGGAACCCAGGGGGGGTTAAATGGGTTTTTTTGGGGAACCCCCTTATGTGTGCTGGGGGGCAAATTGAACCCGTCTCGGGCCCCCTGACACTTATTGTATGGTCCTTAACGTGCTAGTGACAAACCCCCGCTTTTCATTTGGGGGGGGTGGGGGCATCGTCCGCCAAGTCCTTTTTCTTTTGTAGGGGGGATTTTCCCCGGGGCAAGTTCGGTACCCATCCCCTAGGATTTTTTCCCGGTTTTATATAATCATGTATCTCTCCCCCTGCGTTCCAGGGAATACAGGTTTTGAAACCCCCAAGCGCTCCCAGGAATTTTAGGTGTTTTATCTCCCGGGTTAAAGCGCGCCGTGAAAGTTTTTTCTGTACATTTTCTGGTCGGCAATTTCACCTGCCTTGAAAGGTGCTTTTTAGAGTTTCAGCAATAAATTCCCCCCTAGATAGAAAAAATTGACCTGAAGTGTCCCTATGGGCTTGGGCCCCCCTAGTTTTTAAGGTTTTTCAAATTTTCCATCCTTTTTTTCTGCAACGATTGAAAACAATGGGTTTTGGTCCTTTAAGGGGAGATCCCCCGACATAATCACCCCGGTCTTTGACGTTGGTGTTTTCGCTCTATTTTGTGGCCAGAATTTGTTTTGTACTCTGATGAAGATTTAATTTCCTCATGTTTACCATATCTGAGTAATTGAATTTTCATCGTTGAACTTCATATTGTTTTCTGCAGCCCACGAAAGATTTGGTTGATGTCCGCCTGGAGCCTTGCAGTGTCTGCAATGGAAGACACTGTCATGCAGATTCGGGTGTCATCTGCAAAGGAAGACACGGTGCTGGTGGCTGACATCCTTTGTCTATGTCGGATATGAGGATGAGGATCAAGATGGGAGCTAGTACTGTGCCTTGTGGAACAGAGTTTTTTCACCGTAGCTCCCTCGGACTTTACTCTGTTGACAAACTACTCTCTGTGTTCTGTTAGTGAGGAAATTATAGATCCATCGACCGACTTTTCCTGTTATTCCTTTAGCGCGCATTTTGTGCGCTATTACGCCATGGTCACACTTGTCGAAGGCTTTTGCAAAGTCTGTATATATTCATCTGCATTCTTTTTGTCTTCTAGTGCATTTAGGACCTTGTCGTAGTGATCCAGTAGTTGAGAAAAGACAGGAGCGACCCGTTCAAACCCATGTTGCCCTGGGTTGTGTAACTGATGGGGTTTTAGATGGGTGGTGATCTTGCTTCTTAGGACCCTTTTCAAAGATTTTTATGATATGGGATGTTAGTGCTATTGGTCTGTAGTTCTTTGCTGTTGCTTTACTGCCCCCTTTGTGGAGTGGGGCTAATGTCTGTTGTTTTTAGTAACTGAGGACGACCCCCGTGTCCATGCTCCCTCTCCATAGGATGGAAAAAGGCTCGTGATAGGGCTTCTTGCAGTTCTTGATGAACACAGAGTTCCATGAGTCTGGCCCTGGGGCAGAGTGCATGGGCATGTCATTTATCGCCTTTTTCGAAGTCATTTGGCGTCAGGATAACATCGGTTTGGCTTGTGTTAATAAAATTTTTGTGGCTCTCTCATAAAAAATTAATTTTGATCTTCAACTCTCAGGTCTGGTTAGCGGCTTGCTAAAACGGGAGTCATTTTGGGGGACTTGAGTGCTCACTCATTTCCTTGCTGTCATCTGTGTAGGACCCATCTTGTTTAAGTAGGGGCCCAATATGGACGTTGTTCTCGATTTTGATTTGGCATAGGAGAAGAAATACTTTGGGTTTCTTTCGATTCATTTATGGCTTTTAGTTTTTCCCCGCGATTCCTGACTCCTAAAGGATTCTTTTAGCTTAAGTTCGATGCTTGCTATTTCTCTGCCCAGCGTCTCCCTGCGCATTTCAGATATATTGACCTCTTTTAGCCCTCTGTTATTCTTTTCCGTCGCCTGTAAAGGGAGCGCCTTCTCTTTCTATTTTACATCTACTCCTCCTTTTTCTTAGAGGAATAAGCCTTGTGCATACATCGAGTCCCACCGAGTTAATCTGTTCTAGGCATAAGTTTGGGTCTGTGTTGCTTAGTATATCTTCCCAGCTTATATCGGTTTAGGACTTGGTTTACTTGGTCCCATTTTATGTTTTTGTTATTGAAGTTGAATTTGGTGAATGCCCCCTCGTGACTAGTCTCATTTTGTCGGTCTGGGGCTCCACGCATAAAATGTCTGAACCTCAATTATGTTGTGATCTGAGTATATTGTTTTTGATATGGTGACATTTCTTATCAGATCATCATTGTTAGTGAAGATGAGGTCTAGTGTATTCTCCAGTCTAGTAGGCTCTATTTTTTGCTGGTTTAAATTGAATTTTTGTGCAGAGATTTAAAAGCTCGTGTGAGTGTGAGTTTTCATCGAGCTGCCTCCTGGTTTTTATTACTGCAACAATTTATTTGCTATATTCCCCATTTTAGGTGCCTAAGTTGAAATCCCCCAGGAGCAAGATGTTGGGTGCAGGAGCTGGAAGATTTTCCAGACAGTGGTCAATTTTTAAAAAGCTGTTACAAAAGTACTAGCTTTTGGTAAACCTCAAAGTGGGATGTCTCAGGATTCCCTATGGGCTACGGCTGCATCCTAAGTGCCTTCGAACTTGTTATATGGATGGTTTTGTGTCCATGGGTTTTAAAAGCACCCTGTGGTCTTGAGGACTGAGTTTGTTAGACAATTTGGCTATTGACAAATTAAACATGGACAGGAGTAGTTGGTGACTTTGAGACAATTGGATTACGTAAGGCAGGCCCTCAAATGAAGGAAACAGTAAAACATAGCCATGTGTTGTGTGACATCCCGTGAGGACCTGATTGTATTAGTTCCTTGAGGACAGTGTTTCATGGCATGCCCACACGAAAAGCATGTCCAGGGAAACCTAAAAAAAAATGTAATCACTAATATTAAGTGGACAAATTTACCTAGAAATTGTCTGTAATCATGTGCCCAAATCTTTCACTCAACAGTGGAAAGTTTTTATGCAAAACAGTGCTCCTTGTCACACTGTTCAATCAGTGGCTTCATGGCTGTGAAGTACCATTCTTGATGACTGGCGAAGGAACTCCCCAAACGTGAACCCCCCATTGAGAACCTCTGGACTGAGGTTAAAAAAATCTACTAGGGAAAGGATATCAGCCCACTCTCACACCTTGAGGATGCCATCCACAGGTCTTGAAAGAATTTACCACATGAAACCTTGAAGGATGCTTGTTAACTACTTCCTAGATGGTTGAAGGATGTCCTACAATGCCAAGAATAATCTATTTTGTGGTTGTCATGTTAGAGAAAGTCACCGTTCTTTAATAATGAGCACCGTAGGTGAAATGTTATAATAAAAGACTTCTTCTTTTCTTTCAACAAACCGGCCATATCCCACCGAGGCAGGTGGCCTAAAAAGAAAACCGAAAGTTTCTCTTTTAAATTTATTAATATATACAGGAGAAGGAGTTAACTAGTCCCTTGCTCCTGGCATTTTAGTCGCCTTTTATGACACGCATGGCTTACGTAGGAAGAATTCTGTTCCACTTTCCCCCATGGAGATAAAAGACTCATTTTGCTAATACATGTACATGTAGTATATCTTTTTAACCACTTGCTGGCTATATGATACTCAAACTAGTCATAGTGATGGACAGCTTCATTAAGGACCTTCTACAACACAATGAGATTACTGACTCTGTGTATTTGGTGAAGATCATGCTAATGAAGTGTCATTAAATTATGATTTGTACTTTTAAAGGGCCCCTTTGCAGGATTAAAGCTAAACCTCCAGGTATTGCAAGCCTAATCTAAATTCGCTCCTCTTGATATCATGTGAAATATTCCACTATTGTACTGTTTTTCTTAAGTCTGTTTTCTTGCATCACTTAAATGTAATTGCCTACCTGTTTAGTTATTTTTGGGTGAAGGGAATTATAGCATTTGGTCCTGCCTCATTTTGACTGAATGGTATGATACTTTGTCATACACATCTACTTCATTTCCACTCTTATAGCAGGGTGTTTTTGGTATGTAATGCCATGTCTGTAGAATTTTACACTTTCAAAATTAGAAGCACAATTCTCTAACCCATAGGAAGAAACTAAAGGTTTTTTCACTTGATCAGGTAGTCTTGTTTTATCTGGTTATCAATCTTCTCAGGCCAAAAAAGTATGTGCTTCTGTGTAAATGACCCCTTCATTAATTTTTTCTGTATTATGTCTTATTTATAATTTATTTTGTGATTATGGTTTAGTCCATAGGCTTAAATAAATTAAATTAAATATGAAATTTAATATTGTGGAATTTTTTAATTTGTATTTTGTGTATGAAACATACACTTAGAAAAGTGATCGATGAGAGTAGATATTTGAGGTAAACTTTTACCTTTCCAACTGCCTTATGGTAACTTTAAGGTTAGTATTAGATGTTCATGTTTTTAGGATAGTAATATCTTAAACATCATCCTTTGCTGTTTTAAGAAACAGCAAAGTCTGAATTGATAGCGGTCATCAATGATTATCAAATAAAATATGTGGACAGAACAAAGCAACTTCCAAAGCTTAATGTGTACATTTTTATTATAAAAACTAGTTTACATATACAGGTTATTCAATAAGTGGCCTTCAGTCAAAAGCCGTTGTATCTGGTTTAGCCTTCAGGCGACGATGAGCCCTCCATTCAACACTACAGAATGTCAATGTACCTATGGTAGCAAAAACCACTAAGACTGCAAGATGCCAGTATAGTTCAAATACACTTGAGTAAAAGAAACAGGCAGCAGCTGAGAGGGATTGAGTGAACTTGAAAAGTGCAAAAGCAGGTCCAGAATTATCTTCATAAACAGTTCCAAGTATGGAGTAAATCTGAGTGTTGAAACAAGCATCTCCAAAGCCCAACAAGAAACTGCACATCATGGCAATCACTTCACTGAAATGAAATGATGAAAGTGAAATTAAAACTTATACAAATCATTAATTTATTTTAATACAAACAACTGTCTGTACTCACTCAGAGAATGATGTACAGCAATAAGAAGTAATGTGATTTCCTTATTAACACCATAAATGCACAGACATTTAAAACATAAATGCACAGACATAAACACTATATGCACAACTTGTTTGGTGAAGCGAGGCTCACCAGTAGTGTATGTGGCATTTACGATCACACAGGTAAATGAGTAAAATCTGATAACCAGACATGCACACATGTAGAAACAAAAGGGAAAGAGAGGGAGAATGAAGAGAGGCAGAATAAAAAAAAAAAGCAAGAGCAAGCAATGAGTACACATATGCAACTTTCTACATCATTTATGAAGTCAATTATGTTTACTGCCTACATGTGACTGTATTTATGCCCGAGTTACTTTTCACTGAATATTGTATAAGCTTTTGGATAATTCTTTGAAAATAGTGTCACTGGCTACAAACCTAAGAAATCATATATGTAGTTTGGAGTTGGAACCATGCCTATTAAATTATATATGAGTAAAGAACAAAAAGGCACAATACCATGCCAGAAACAATACGCAGATAACCAGCATATCGGAGAGAGAGGCTTATGACAACGTTTTGGTCCGACTTGGACCATTTACAAAGTCACATTAACACCAAAGAGTGAGGGAGCCAGTATATATAGGCAAGAGAGACAGGGATGGGTACTGGCTCCCTCACTCTTTTGTGTTAGTGTGACTAAGTGGTTCAAGTCAGACTGAAAATCATCATAAACTTCTCTCTCCTATGTGCAGGTTATTTGCATACATTATTTTATTTTTATTAACACACTGGCTGATTCCCACCAAGGCAGGGTGGCCCGAAAAAAGAAAAAACTTTCACCATCATTCACTCCATCACTGTCTTGCCAGAAAGGGTGCTATACACTACAGTTTTTAAACTGCAACATTAACACTCCTCCTTCAGAGTGCAGGCACTGTACTTCCCATCTCCAGGACTCAAGTCCGGCCTGCCGGTTTCCCTGAATCCCTTCATAAATGTTACTTTGCTCACACTCCAACAGCATGTCAAGTATTAAAAAACCATTTGTCTCCATTCACTCCTATCAAACACGCTCACGCATGCCCGCTGGAAGTCCAAGCCCCTCGCACACAAAACCTCCTTTACCCCCTCCCTCCAACCTTTCTTAGGCCGACCCCTACCCCCGCCTTCCTTCCACTACAGACTGATACACCTCTTGAAGTCATTCTGTTCGCTCCATTCTCTCTACATGTCCGAACCACCTCAATAACCCTTCCTCAGCCCTCTGGACAACAGTTTTGGTAATCCCGCACCTCCTCCTAACTTCCAAACTACGAATTCTCTGCATACATGAGTGTTTAATATTTGCTTAAGTACAGTGGGTGACAGAGAATGTTCTAAAAATTATTCATTAAGATTTTATGTTGGTAATGAATCTGTGAAGCATATGATAAATGATTCGAGAGCATAGACTGCAGCTATGGTATAAACAAAATTGTAATGATACCTGAGACCTGCCAATGTATGCTCATAGGATTTGTGACCAAGTGGAATAATTACAGCAAAAATTAACAGTCTAATTTTAACTAGTTGGCTTAATTTCAACTACCTCGTGTTATTAGAAACATGATAATTTACAGTGCACAGATCTCAGCAGAGAGAGTGTAAAAATTATAGGGGAATAAGTCTGTTGAGTTCTCCATGGGGAAGTAGAACAGAATTCTTCCTCCGTAAGCTATGTGTGTCGTAAAAGGCAACTAAAATGCCAGGAGCAAGGGGCTAGTAACTTCCTCTCCTGCATATATTACTAAATTTAAAAAGAGAAACTTTTGTTTTTCTTTCTGGACCACCCTGCCTTGGTGGGATACGGCTGATTTGTTGAAAGAAAAGAAAGAAAAGTCTGTTGAGTATACCTGGTAAAGTGATTGGTAGAGTTATTATTGAAAGAGTTAAGAGTAAGACAGTAAGCAGGACAGCAGATGAACAAGGCTTTAGAAAGGGTAGGGGGTGTGTAGACCAAGTGTTTGCAGTGAAACATATGGTGAACAGTATTTAGACAGAGTAGAGAGGTTTTTGTGGCATTTATGGATTTGGAAAAGGCGTACGATAGGGTGGATAGCGGGGTAATGTGGGAGATGTTGCAACTGTATGGAATAGGAGGTAGGTTATTGAAAGCAGTGAAGAGTATTTACGAGGATAGTGAGGCTCAGGTTCAAGTATGCAGGTAAGAGGGAGATTATCTCCCATGGTTGTTCAATATATTTATAGATGGAGTTGTAAGAGAAGTGAATGCTCGGGTGTTGGCAAGAGGTGTAGGGTTAAAAGATGAAGAATCTAACACAAAGTGGGAGTTGTCACAGTTGCTCTTTGCTGATGACACTGTGCTTTTGGGAGATTCTGAAGAGAAGTTGCAGAGGTTGGTTGATGAGTTTGATAGGGTATGTAAAAGGAAATTAAAAGTGAATATAGGAAAGAGTAAAGAGATGAGGATAACAAAAAAAAAATTAGGTAATGGAAGACTGAATATTAGATTGGAGGGAGAGAGTATGGAGGAGGTGAATGTATTCAGATATTTGGGAGTGGATGTGTCAGCAGATGGGTCTATGAAAGATGAGGTAAATCAAAAGAATTGTTGAGGGAAAAAAGGTGAGTGGTGCTCTGAGGAGTCTATGGAGACAAAGAACTTTCTCCATGAAAGCAAAGAGGGGAATGTATGAGAGTATATTATACCAACGCTCTTGTATGGGTGTGAGGCATAGGTTGTGAATGTTGTTACAAGGAGAAGGCTGGAGGCAGTGGAGATGTCACGTCTGAGGGTAATGTGTGGTGTGAATATAATGCAGAGAATCTATAGTTTGGAGATTAGGAGGAGGTGTGGGATTACCAAAAAACTATTATCCAGGGGCTGAGGAGGGGTTATTGAGATGGTTTGGACATGTAGAGAGGATGAAACTAAGTAGAATGACTTCAAGAGTGTATAAATCTGTAGTGGAGGGAAGGCAGGGTAGGGGTTGGCCTAGGGAAGGTTGGAGGAGGAAGTAAAGGAGGTTTTGTGTGTGAGGGGCTTGGAACTTCCAGCAAGTGTGCATGAGCATGATAGAGGGGAGCAAATGGATACAAATGATTTTTAGGACTTGACATGCTCTTGGAGTGTAAGCAAGGGAAAAATTAATGAAGGAATTCAGGGAAACTGGCAGGCCAGATTTGATTCCTGGAGATGGTAAGTACAGTGCTGGCACTCTGAAGGAGGGGTGTTAATGTTGCAGTTGTATAACTGTAGTGTAAGCATGCCTCTGGCAAGACAGTGATGGAGTAAATGATAATGAAAGTTTTTTTTTTTTTCGGGCCACCCTCCCTTGGGGGGATCGCCCGGGTTTTTAAAAAAAAAAAAAAGATCTAGCAAAGAAATGATGGAGGGTTCAACCATTGATAAATCTAAAAAAAAGGGAAAGGGTTGACTTTCAAATTGTGCCATCCCTTTTCATTTTATTCGGGCCCAAAAAATCCTGTGGTACAAATTACCTAATGACGTATAAAAATGAAGCTAATTTAATTTTTAGGAAAGAAGTTCCCTACTTACATATTAAGCACTCTGCATAACTATATCTGCCAATTACGGGCAGGACTCCTTCAATATTTTTGTTCAAAAAAATTCCTTCCATGTGTTTAACCCCTTTAAAAAACATCCAAACATATATAACATTCTCTCGCGAGCGCCCCAAAAAATATTATCGTGCTTACATTTCGTGAGCCATGTGAGGGGGCTTTGGGGGGATTTAAAATAGAGTTCGTTACGGCCTGCGCGGGAGATTTGTCTGTAAAAGCTTCATTTGGGACACAGTGGTGCTATACTAACCTTCCTATGGTTAAATACACCTATTGGGGCGAATCTTATGAACTAGCGCCCCGTGGCTAATGCGACAGTCTGGAGTTTTGGACTCTGACCGCGGGTTCAAATCCCCCTGGGATGGTTTTTTTCAATGTGTCATTTCGTTTTTGTGAGTCTAACTTTCTTTTTTCATTATTCAACATTTTCCACAAAAGGCCTGATCCCTAGGGGCATGAGAGAATGATGTGGCACCAGTGGGGGCCAATGAAAAAAATTGGGGGGCCTGGGGGGCCACATCTCTTTTTTCCTTAAAAAAAAAAAGATTTTTTTTCTCAAAATCTTCGAGGGCTCACAGGTGAATGTTAAAAAGCATGCGTTTGGGGCCGTTTAAGGGTTTTTAAAAACCCCCTCCTACTAAAAATGAAACCTACTAAAATACCTGTTTTTTTTTTTTAAAACTGGGTGTCTCTTACTGTTGTAGGGTGACCAAAAAAAGAAAAAACTTTCAAAATCACTTATTCAAACACGCTTTTCCCGATGGCCTGACATTACAGTTTTCCAAAGACCCCCAAACCGCAACATCCCAACCCCCCCTTTAGAGTGCAGGGTGACTTCTCAAGTTTGGTTCCTACCACCTCATAAATCTAAATGCAGTTTCTGGGGAAACATGGCATGTGCTCACTGAACTTTCACCAAAAAAATAATAAACTTTTCCCAAATTTTTTTTGTTTTTAACACACTGCTTTACTCCCTCAAAAATTTCGACTTTATAGTTTAATCCATAATGATAACAAAGCTTTCGAATTACCTACTAACAACTGTCACAATGAAAATAGCCTAATGCACAGATACTATAAGCTGTAAAAAAATTTTGCATTGAGTATATTTCAAAACAACATTCTTTTATTAAATTAAGATATATTTATCACACAAGCTGTGAATTTCTTTATTTTATATTTTACACAATTTTTTTTATTAAACAGATAATAACAATGAAGAACTATACCTTGGCTACCAAGTGGCAAAAATGAGGGGCTTTTTGTATTCGTCAAAGGAGATTCTGTTGGAAAATTTCATGAATATGAGGAAGAAGCAGACCATAGTATCAGATATCCCAAAAGCACAATGGGATCTCGACCATATTTAACAGTTTTAGAACCAAAGATGCCAAATAACTCCTCCTCCTGAAAAAATGAAAAAAATTTTGGGTATAAGAATTATGAAAATTTATGTTACAAAAAAAATGAGAAAAAATTACAGAAAATGTGAATGTATTTAAATAAATATGGAGGCCTGGTCTAGAACCAGGCCACGGGGGCAGTGACCCCGGGAAAGTGCCCTTCCGGGTAATCTCTCGGGTATAATTTTTTTTTTGTAACATTGCATTAATCTTGCTGAAACTTCTGTTATGTCATGTGTACTGTAATTAAAAAGGGTCTGATTTTGTTTTTGTAACATACTGGCTGTCTCCCACTGAAGTAGGGTGATTCGTAAAAGGAAATACATTTGCTATCATTATTCAATAGCTGTCTTGCTAGAAGTGTGCAGGCATAAAAAGTCAAATGACCCCCAAACTGCAACATCCTCACACTCATTCAGAGCATAGGCACGGGTATTTCCCACCTCCAAACCCATATCTGGTTAACTTTTTTTCCTGAATTTCTTCATGTATTGCTGCCTTGCTCACACTCCAAGAGCATGTCAAGCCATAAAAATCACTTATCACCATTCGCTTCACTCTAACACATGCACACAAGTGCCTAGCACTCATAAACTCATTATTCCCTCCCTCCAACCTTTCCTGGAATAAACCCCGGGTTTTATGCACCTTTTGGGTAACCCTAATCTGCTCCATCCTCTCTAAATACCCAAACCACCTCAACAACCCTTCCTCAGACATATGAATTATACTTTTGGTAACCTCACGTCTTCTCACTTTTATGCTTCAAATTCTTTGCATAATATTCACACAACACATTGCTCTCAAGCATGACATCTTCATTACTCCACTTCCATCTTGCTACAGGCAGTGGAGATGTCACACATTAGTGGAGTCAGGATTTCAGTTTGGGGGAAAGGAAAAGGGAAAAGGGGGGTGCTTAACCCTTTAACTGTCCAAATGTAATCTACTTCTCTCACCCAACGCTCCAAATATTTTTGAAAAAAAAAAAAAAAATTACAGAAATAAAGAGTTGCAAAATTTCTATGTGACACAGAATAAAAAAAGTTTTAGGGTCAGTACTTACCAAGATATGACCTGCGAAGTTGGCACTTGATGATCACCTGGCGGCAAACATGTATGCTGCCACTTGCAGAAGTGTTGTGGATAAAACCTTTTTTTTCTCGTTTTTTATTTTATTTTGTAAAAGTTTTATGTTCTGATAATTACAGTTTATAGTAGTTTTTGTGATTTCATAGCCATCTTTGTTCTGACACAAATATTAGGTACTGAAATTGTACTCAAATTGTCCACAAACACAATGACAGATGAACATTTACACCTGCCTAGGTCATTTACTATTGTCTGTGAATATATACAAAGTATTTATAGGTCCCACAATGTTTGGATACATGGGAGTGTATGTATAATAATAATAATAAAAAATAATAAAATAATAATAAAAGTTCCCTTCAAGCATGATGTAAGACAAGTGTCAGTCCACTGCTGACCTGCGTGTTGACATCTGATGAGCGTCCATGGCCCTGGAGTTATTTGTTTTCAACTGTTACACATAAACATGTCTGTCTGTCTAGTTCTCTGTCTATGTCTGTCTATCTAGGTCTCTCTCTATTTTTTCCATCTAGCTCTCCATCTGTCTGTCTTGCTCCGTTTATCTCTGTCTCTTCTTATCTGTCTCTGTCTGCTTGTCTCTCTGTCTCTGTGCTTGTCTCTCTGACTGTCTCAAGAGAGCCACCGTGAACCAACCCGGTATTACACATGACGCGTCGTCATGTCTGGTTCCTGAGCAAGTGTAAACACGTATTACTTGCCAGTCATTTCATATTGCGCATTATATTGAAAAGCACAGTATAGCACTTTGTCTGGGTTTTTGGGGGTTTTCCTAGGTAATTTACACTATGTATAATTGTCTTTAGTGTAAACCCGGAGACAGAGATAAACAGAGACAGACAGACAGAGACAGATATAGATACAGACAGACAGATGGGGACAGAGACAGCCAAAGTCAATCACCAGCCAGCCAGCCAAGCAGCCACCCACCAGCCAGCCTACCACACACGTATAACACATTGGAGGATTGTTTCTCGTTACTTAGAGAATAGGTTATAAAGACATTCTGGCAGGATGACACTACTAGTGGTACCAAAATTAAAAGTGTTGCACAAATGTTGCACATAGGTTAAATTTTTGAGGTTTTTTTATACTCCTCGACCACCTGTGGCCACATCCACCTCAGAGCCCACTAAACTCGGTTAACATCACTTTCCTCTTAAAATGGGAGTATTAATATTACATGACATCAGTGAATCCCAGGTGTTTGCCATGCTGTTTGCCCCTAGCTGGCACCAATTTAACTGGTGCCCCCCATAGGGTACTAAGTGGTCCCAGATTGTTTTAATACTGCGCACAAACAAGGTTTAAGACCCATTCTATGCTGACCAGGCATCTCAGGGCCCAAACAAAGCCAAAATTTTGGGGGCTAGAAAAATAAAACGTAATCTACATTTGGGGCACTAGGGGGAAGAATGTAGAAAATATGTTTGGACAGTTAACGGGTTAATTAGTATTTCAATCTTGGCTTTAAAAATCAAAGCTACTCAAAAAATAAAAGAAATTGTTTTTAAAACGTGATTTTTGCAGGGATGGTGCATTTCTTAACCCCTTGATTGTCGCAACCCAAATCCGAGGTGTCTCCTGGTGTCGCAAAATTTCAGTAAAAAACAAAATTTTTTACGAAATGATAGAGAATCTTTTTCCCATTGTAAATACACCAAAAGAACAAGTTTGATGGAAAACTGACGGAATTATGCTCTCGCGAAGTTAGCAACCTCGGCGATGTTTACGAATCGGTGATTTCGCCCAATTTGAGCTCTATTTTTGGCTAATTCCATTGTTCCAGTTGACCCCAAAATCAAAGCTATTTCTTTTGAACTTTCCCTTTTTCTATCGATTGAGTACAAGAACTGCCCATTTACTGATTTCAACTACCCAATAAAATTTGGGCAAAATTTGCAATTTGCCAATTTCACGAAAATTAAAAAAAAAAAAGACAATTTCAAAATAGGATCCAAATGAACAATGCAGACATTCCTGGCTCTAAAATAACATTTTCTTTATTCATCAGTCCATCTCCAGCCCCTCTGATATTACTCCCTTTTTTCTATTTTGAATTTTTATTCAAACTAAAAACCCGAAGATTTACGTTATGCAGGGTACTGCAAATTTGTAATAATTGTATAATAATGTCAATCCATTCATGACTGCCCTATTAAATGGCTACTTGGACATTTTTTGGAAATGACATCATTTGTTTACTTTTGAACAGTGGCAAAAATCAAACATTTCCCATACTTTGAGCTCCATTTCAAGGTTCTTTTCATAGTAAAAACCAATCAAAATCACTTCTATTTCTATAATATGTTTTCCATTCTATGAAATGAGACCAAGAAAACAAGAATACTAAAACGAAAATAGACCACAAAGTCGGCATTTTTAAATTAAAAAAAAAACGGTAGGAGTTTTTTTTCTCATTATGCACTGCGTGCTGAAGGGTCATTATCCAGTCATGAAAGCCCACTAATATTGCAATCATAAGGATAATACTGCATGGATTGGAGAGAATGAGACTACAACCAAAGAAAATTTTTTTAGTGAAGAGACTGCCCTTTGAACAGTATTATATTTTGCTTACCTAATATCTCTCCAGCACCAATAAACATTCCTGAAAGTCCTACAAGGCGTTTTGGATCAGGAAATCTAAGGGTTGAACTCAAACAAGCACTATAAACTCCACTGAAGAATGACAGTTCAATTCCTGGAATTCAAAACACAAGATTGAATTTATCTCCTTCAAACTCGTACTACATTACTAAGTGTATTAATCTTATTTTCCTATCAGTAAATCAATATAATGTTTGATTAAAAGAACTATATGCTAATTACTGTATTTTATGAATAAATATTGTTCATGCTCCAGGCGGATGTCCTGTATAGCATATCTGTATCACTGTAATAATAATAATATAATAATATAATAATATAATATAATAATAATATAAAAATAATATAGTAGGTAATTTTGGGGTGCCAGGGTAAATGTAAATGGGGAGCCTTTAATTGAGCTATGTGTAGAAAGAAATTTGGTAATAAGTAATACATATTTTATGAAAAAGAGCATAAATAATATACAAGGTATGATGTAGCACGTAATGAAAGTAGTTTGTTAGATTATGTATTGGTGGATAAAAGGTTGATGGGTAGGCTCCAGGATGTACATGTTTATAGAGGGGCAACTGATATATCGGATCATTATTTAGTTGTAGCTACAGTTAGAGTAAGAGGTAGATGGGAAAAGAGGAAGGTGGCAACAACAAGTAAGAGGGAGGTGAAAGTGTATAAACTAAGGGAGGAGGAAGTTCGGCGAGATATAAGCGACTATTGGCAGAAAGGGGGGCTAGTGCAAAGATGAGTAGTGGGGGGGTTGAAGAGGGTTGGAATAGTTTTAAAAATGCAGTATTAGAATGTGGGGCAGAAGTTTGTGGTTATAGGAGGGTGGGGGCAGGAGGAAAGAGGATTTATTGGTGGAATGATGAAGTAAAGGGTGTGATAAAAGAGAAAAAGGTAGCTTACGAGAGGTTTATACAAAGCAGAAGTGTTATAAGAAGAGCAGAGTATATGGAGAGTAAAAGAAAGGTGAAGAGAGTGGTGAGAGAGTGCAAAAGGAGAGCAGATGAAAGAGTGGGAGGCACTGTCAAGAAATTTTTATGAAAATAGGAAAAAAAATTTTTGGGGTGAGTTAAACAAGTTAAGAAAGCCTAGGGAAAGTATGGATTTGTCAGTTAAAAACAGAGTAGGGGAGTTAGTAGATGGGGAGAGGGAGGTATTAGGTAGATGGCGAGAATATTTTGAGGAACTTTTAAATGTTAAGGAAGAAAGGGAGGCGTAATTTCATGCACTGGCCAGGAGGTATACCATCTTTTAGGAGTGAAGAAGAGCAGAATGTAAGTGTGGTGGAGGTACGTGAGGCATTACGTAGATGAAAGGGGGGTAAAGCAGCTGGAACTGATGGATCATGACAGAAATGTTAAAAGCAGGGGGGATATAGTGTTGGAGTGGTTGGTACTTTTGTTTAATAAATGTATGAAAGAGGGGAAGGTACCTAGGATTGGCGAGGAGCATGTATAGTCCCTTATATAAAGGGAAAGGGGAAAAAGAGATATGTAAAAATTATAGAGGAATAAGTTTACTGGTATACCAGGAAAGTATACGGTAGGGTTATAATTGAAAGAATTGAGGTAAGACAGAATGTAGAATTGCGGATGAGCAAGGAGGCTTCAGAGTGGGTAGGGATGTGTAGATCAAGTGTTTACATTGAAACATATATGTGAACAGTATTTAGATAAAGGTAGGGAAGTTTTTTATTGCATTTATGGATTTAGAAAAGGCATATGATAGAGTGGATAGAGAGCAATGTGGCAGATGTTGCAAGTATATGGAATAGTGGTAAGTTACTACATGCTGTAAAGAGCTTTTATGAGGATAGTGAGGCTCAGGTTAGGGTGTGTAGAAGAGAGGAGAATACTTCCCGGTAAAAGTAGGTCTTAGACAGGGATGTGTAATGTCACCATGGTTGTTAATATATTTATAGATGGGGTTGTAAAAGAAGTAAATGCTAGGGTGTTCGGGAGAGGGGTGGGAATTAAATTATGGGGAATCAAATTCAAAATGGGAATTGACACAGTTACTTTTGCTGATGAATACTGTGCTTATGGAGATTCTAAAGAAAAATTACAAAGGTTAGTGGATGAGTTTGAGAATGTGTGTAAAGGTAGAAAGTTGAAAGTGAACATAGAAAAGAGTAAGGTGATGAGGGTATCAAATGATTTAGATAAAGAAAAATTGGATATCAAATTGGGAGGAGGAGATGGAAGAAGTGAATGTTTTCAGATACTTGGGAGTTGACGTGTCGCGGATGATTTATGAAGGATGAGGTTAATCATAGAATTGATGAGGGAAAAAAAGGTGAGTGGTGCGTTGAGTATATGTGGAGTCAAAAAACGTTATCTATGGAGGCAAAGAAGGGAATGTATGAAAGTATAGTAGTACCAACACTCTTATATGGATGTGAAGCTTGGGTGGTAAATGCAGCAGCGAGGAGACGGTTGGAGGCAGTGGAGATGTCCTGTCTAAGGGCAATGTGTGGTGTAAATATTATGCAGAAAATTCGGAGTGTGGAAATTAGGAGAAGGTGTGGAGTTAATAAAAGCATTAGTCAGAGGGCAGAAGAGGGGTTGTTGAGGTGGTTTGGTCATTTAGAGAGAATGGATCAAAGTAGAATGACATGGAAAGCATATAAATCTATAGGGGAAGGAAAGAGGGGTAGGGGTCGTCCTCGAAAGGGTTTGGAAAGAGGGGGTAAAGAGGTTTTGTGGTGTGAGGGCTTGGACATCCAGCAAGCGTGCGTGAGGGTTTGATAGAGTGAATGGAGACGAATATACTTGGGACCTGACATCTGTTGGAAGTGTGAGCAGGGTAATAATAGTAGAAGGGATTCAGGAAACCGTTATTTTCATATGTGGACTTGAGTCCTGGAAATGGAAGTACAAACCTGCACTATTTAAGGAGGGTTTGGGATATTGGCAGTTTGGGGATATGTTGGTGTATCTCATACATATAATGCTTCTAAACTGTTGTATTCTGAGCACCTCTGCAAAAGCAGTGATAATGTGTGAGTGTGATGAAAGTGTTTGAATGATGATGAAAGTATTTTCTTTTTGGGGATTTTCTTTCTTTTTTTTTGGTCACCCTGCCTCGGTGGGGAGACGGCCGACTTGTTGAAAAAAAAAAAAAAAAAAAAAAATCTTTATTTACTACAAGTACATGTATACAGGTATACAGACCTAGCTGACATCAATGACATACTACTATATAGAAGCTGCTTGTTATGCAGGAGCATTTCATTCAAATTAGGTCAGTTTTGTCTGAGGATGCAACCTACACCAGTTGAATAACACCCAGGTACCATTTTACTGATGGGTGAACACAGACAACAGGTGCAAAGAAACACATACCATGTTTCCACCCTTTGCTGGGAATCGAACCTAGACCCTCACCGGTGAAGAGAGAGCTTTTGCCACCAGGCCATGGGTCTGGATTTTTGAAGGGAGCAAATTTTAGATGCAACAGAAATCAGCAAATAAAGTTTAGTTGCGTAAATCATTATTCTACTATAGAAAAAATATTACATATCAAAAACTGGGTTTCTTAACAAAAAATTATCTGGTACACAAAATATTTCATCTCTTCAACTTTATAAATCTATGTATTGTACTGCACTGTACTCAATGCTGACACCAAGGGGGTCCTTGGGCCTCAGCTCCACAAATAAAATAGTAATAATAATAAAGCTGCTTCAAACACGTTTCCTAGCTCCCTTTCCGTAGCTCAATCATTAGCGCACTCAGCTCACGCACTCTGGTTCAGGGGTCAATCCCCTGTATGGCTGGAAACATTAGGCCGTGCTTCCTTGAGATACCTGCTGTCCATTGTTCACCCATCAGTAAAATGGGTACCTGGGTGTTAGTGGACTGGTGTGGGTTGCATCCTGAGACAAAATTGACTTAATTTGCTCAAAATGCTCTGCATAACAAGGAGCTCTCTATGTGTGTAGTAGTATGTCACTGATGTCAGATAGGCCTGTATAACTTGTACATGTACTTGTAGAAATAAAGATTATTATTATTATTACTACAGATAGCCACACCTTAGCCCCTCAGTGCAGAAATTATGGTGCTCCCCTGACTCTGCAGAAATATAACAACAGTTTTTGGCAAATAATGCAAGTCAGGAAAAAACAATTTAATCTTCTGATACGTAATGTATTTCTTAATGATGTAATGTAAACTTATTCAATTAAAGTTATATATTTAATTCTGCACTTGCAAGACTGTCAAATGATATATGTACCTGAAAAAATAGTTACATTCATGAACCAAAATCAACAGATATTAACATTTAAGATTTTTTTAAATATAGCACATTGTTATTTTACAAATAAATTACGGGTAATGTGATCATACCGTACTAATTTATCCTGTACTCTGTATGAGTTATTGTGTAATTTTTAATAATTAACATGAAGATAAAATTATTAACCTGTATAGAAAAATGTTGCAGATAAAAGAATCATGTCCTTTGTTCTGAAGAGATTGAAAGACTTTTTCAAAGCCTCAAAGGGACTGCCTAGACTTTCATCAGCACGACCACTGCCATCTGCGCCAGGTTTTGGTAACAAACACATAATGCCAATACCGATGATACCAACAACTGTCAGAGCCGAAAACACAATAGTCCGTGTATGATGGTCAATAACATCTTTGCCCATGAATTGGTAGAATACAAAGAGGTTGCCAAATAACATGCTGGAAAATAGAGAAATTATTTTTACTCTTTAATATTCAGATACAGTATTACCAGAATCTACAAAACAATCTGTCTGTCTGTTTGCCTGAAAGTTTGCTTGCTCTTCCTTGCCCTACCTGCCCTTCCTTGGCTTACCTGCCCTATCTTGCCATGTTTGCTGTGGTCTGCCTGCTTGCTTGTATTAAATGGAAGGATGGTGGAGGTGTTGGGGGTAGGAGGTAGGAGTTGGTAGTTTGGAGTGAGGGAAGGAGACCATATGTGTTTGGGCCCGGGAGACAGCAGCAAGAGTATTATTATTAAGTCTACAATTCTTTACCAATTTGCCTGCCTGCATGTCTGTCTGTCTGCCTGTGTCTGTCTTTGTCTGTCTGTCCATCTGTCTGCCTGCCTGCCTGCCTGCCTGCCTGCCTGCCGCCTGCTTGCCTGCCTGCTTACCTGCAAGCCTGCCTGCCTGCCTGCTTACCTGCAAGCCTGCCTGCCTGCATGTCTGGGTGGCAATGCCTCTGAATATTTCAAGTTGCAGCCTATGTTTGTTTATCACTTAGACAACCCCAGAGTGTTTAAACAACAAAAAGAGTAAGGGAAGGTTGGGTGTGTTCTGGCATCTTGGAATGAATTTCTATAAAACCATGGAGTTTGAGATACGATACGTCTTCTGGAATGGATTAATATCCAAACTCGAAGGGTTGCTGTGTTACAATAACCACACAACTCTAGTAATGTTTGAGTTTTCTTATGATTTTATGGGATCTTTCCTTAAGGTGCTCTTCCAGTTTCTCCCTCTAGGATGCTTGCCACCTGCTCATCACTAATTCTTTGTAGTGCAGATGTACTCTATATTCATTTTATAATTCCATCATTTATCACCATATCCTAACAATTCAGGCATGTGGAGATCTCCCTTAGTGCACTGTACAATAGTTCTACAAACTGTAAACTGGGTACAATGTGTGATTTTCTTTGCTGTCCCATAAACAAATTTTTTTATTGTTTATTCCTTCCCATTTACTAATATAAATGCATACATTTTTTAATTGTAATTTTCTAGTCTGAATTTAGGAGTTATTCTTTGTCCATTCTTTTATGAAAAAAAAGAAGGGAGGAAGAGAAAGCTAAACATGGAGATGTACTAACTTTTTAAAAAATGGAAAAAAGGAAAATATGGAATGATATTACAAAGGAATGGAAGGATATTACATAGAATACAGATAAAGTCATAACACAAATAAGTCTAGGAAAACAAGAAAATTGGCACTGTTATACGATTGAGTATGGTTCTAGAAGCCCAATAAATATTTTTCAGGCAGTACAGTCCACAGGATCATTGCACAATTTGTTATTTTCATTTCATGGCAGAGTAATGGACATAAGACCTATCTGATGTATTGTGTCAAAGAGAGCCCATATGTTATCAGATTTCTTGTATAAAATGTGATTTGGGCAATAGTAGGGACCTTCATAAAATCTTATGTACAGTAACAAGTCCAGGTTTGGAAAGAAATGCACACCTTGCCACAATTTATAAATAAAATGTCACACAGACAGCATTAATGGTATCAACCTGTTACCAGTTTTCAAGGGTTCTTCTACCTCTGCTGCTTGGCCTGAGGCCAGCTGTCCTTGTTGATTGCCTGGTCCATCAAGCTCTTTGTGTTATCAGCCCTTAAATATCTTCAATGTATATTTATCAGATATCTTTCTTTCTCTGTTGCAGAAAGAATAATCCAAATTTTTTGAGGCGTTCCTAACAGTTAAGATGTCTTATTGATTCTATATACAATAAAGAACCTCTGTAATTTTTTCCAGCTCTGCTATCTCTCCTGCCTTGTAAAGCACTGTGAGCACAGAACAACATTCAAGTTGTGAGAGCACATGTGATTTAAAAAGAACCATCAGTGGTATTGCTTTTTCTATTTTGAAAGTTCTCATTATCCACCCAGTCATTTTCTTGCCCTTTGCTGAATTTGCATTATTGTGTTTTTACAAATGACAAGATTCTTTGACATAATTTTCCGAAGTCTTTTACCTGTTCCTTATTCTCTATTACATGGTCTTCCTGCATTCTGATTAACTGGCTCATTAGAACCTAAAATAATTAGGCATCATTTATTCAAACACTGTCTTGTCAGAAAACATTATAGTTCAGGTGGCCCTCCAAACTACATCCTCACTCCTTGTTTAGAGTGTAGGCACTGTGCTTCTTACCTCCAGGACCAATTCCAAGCTAACTGGTTTCCCTGAATAGCTTCACAGATATATAAATGGAAATTTGTAGTACTGTACTGTAATGCAAATGATTTAGATCAAGATGTACATGCTAGAGAGAGACAGAGAAAAAAAAATATTGGCTTATTTTAATTAGGTTCTTTTTTTAAAGTGCTGAACTATGACTGAAACTGAGCTTAAATCTACATTTAGGTATAATGTACTGTATACAAAAACTATTGCTAATAAATATTCTAAAAAATCAGTCAACAACAGCACACCTGCTTTGAAGCATAGCCCAGAAGATTCCAGAGTTGCGAGACATTGTCTTCTGAGTGGACATGAGAGTGAGATAATTTCCCTGACCAGTCCAGATCAATGCAGCTCCAGCACCCACCAAAACAGATGTTAAATAGAGAATAACTGTTTGAGGCCACAAGAATCCAGCGATGAATATTCTGTGAACGATATAAATGCTTAAATAATGAAGCTTTAAAAATATAATAAAAATAATAATATTATTATTATAATCAAGGGGGAAGCGCTAAACCCGGAGGATTATACAGCGCCTGGAAAATGTTGAAGTTAATAATAATCTGACACAATAATACCGAGATATTACATCAGTATCTTTAATGGTCGACAGAACCAAGTTCAATACATGGCCGTTAATATGGGTGGATGACAGCACATTCTCAAAATTATTCAAATCTATTAGCTCCAAGAACTCATACAGAAAGGGTTTTTCTTGAGGACAATCTATCCCATAATCAGTCCATACACACAAGAGGATGACCACTCTTTATTGCAAACACTATATATACTGTATGCACATGTATGTAGACAGACAAAAGTCACTAGACATTCAACTTCACTTTTGTTACTATGCTGTTATATTAGGTGTACATGTATTTGGTCTCTCTGTCTGTAACATCACAACCCACTTAACCCTTCCACTGTCTTTATCATAGATCTCCGTTAATGACACCAGTGTTTGCTCACGTAGAACTACATTTTAAGCACAGCGCCCTCAAATATGCTGTGAGTGGTAAATTTTGGTATAAACATGAGGGAATGGGTCTGTGAGGTGTATGTGCACAAAAAAAAAAAAAAATCCTGCCCCATGTGGGGTAACGTTTTAAAATAGCACTTTGAGGTGTTTTCTCTAGCATTTTTATAGTTTTATTGGCTGTTTCTTGGTATCAATTGATAGAATGAAAGACACACCATTGAATTAGAGACAATTTTGGTCAGTTTCAGAACCTGAAACAGCTTGAAATATGGTTCAAAGTAGCAGAAATATTTTATTTTTTGACAATCTTCCTGAGGAAGGGTAAGGCCCCCCTAAACCCCAATCACGTTTTTGAAGTTTATACTAGGTCTGCTTCAATTATTGAGATGTTAAATTAAACCCTGACTAATCAATCCTGATTATATTTTATCAGCTGAGAAATAGGGTAAAACCAATTTTTTGCATCTACCTGCCTACCTGGAGTTTACCTGGAGGGTGTTCTGAAGGTCAACACCCCTGTGGCCCAGTCCTTGACCAGGCCTCCCAGTGGATCAGGGCCTGATCAACCAGGCTGTTACTGCTGACTGCACGTAGTCCAACGGTGCCCAGTGGCCTGGTGGCAAAAGCTCTCGCTTCACATGGTGAGGGTCCAGGTTCGATTCCCGTGAAGGGGTGGAAATATTGGATGTGTTTTTCCCTTTCACTGTTTTTCTATATTCACCCATCAGTAAAAAGGGTACTTGGGTGTTAGTCGACTGGTGTGCATCACATCCTGGGACACAACTGACCTAATTTTCCCAAAATGCTCTGCATAACAAACGGCTTTCTATATACAGTGGTACCTTGACTTACGAGTGCCCCAACTTACGAGTTTTCAAAGTTACGAGCCATCACTCGTTCGATTTTTTGCTTTGACTTGCAAGCCAAAATCCGAGTTACGAGTGAGCTTCAGATTGCCGCCATCAATTGGCAGTGTATCTGAAGTCAAATAAAACTCTGTACCCAGGGGAAATGTCACTTTTTTTGGGCCCCATCCCCAGCTCTTCCAAGACATAACGGGAAGGGGATAATACTCCCACAAAAATCCCAATTGGGGGAAAGGCACCTTGTCCCTTTTTGGGTTTTCTTGCAAAAATCCGGGGAAAGGAAACCCTTTTCCATTTCAAAAATTTTTTTTCCAAAAAAACTTTAAATTAAAGTGGGGGGAAGTAGTGGGGGGCCCGTGGAGTAGTGAGGGGTGGGGGGTGAGTAGGGGGGGGTTTGGTGGGGGATAGTAAATAGGGGGGGTGAGTATGTTTGGGGTGGTGGGGAAAAAATAATGGGTGCAGAAAAGGATGGGGGTTTGGGGGAGAACTGATAGTGGAGGGTGGATTTTTGGGGTTTGGGGGTGGAGTAGTAAATGGGGTGGGGGGATAGGAGGTGGTGGAGGGAGTAGTGTAATGGGGGGGAGAAAGTGAATTTGGTGGGGGAATAAGAGGATGGGGGGAAAGTAATAAAGGGGGTGGGTGGAGTAAGAGGGTGGTGGGGGGAATTTTTTACCTGGATTTTTCCCTTTGGAGAGATTTCCGGGGTCAACACCCCCGCGGCCCCCCTGTGACCGGGCCCCTCCTGGTGGACAAGCCTGATAACCCGGGCTGTTCCCGCTGGTTGCACGGGGATTAGTGAGATGGGGGTTGGATAGTGAGGGGGGGGTATAGAAGATGGTGGGGGTTTGGAGTATTTAAAAGGGTGGTGGGGGGATAAAGGGGTTTAGGAGTAGTGATAATAGGGGTGTAGTTTATGGGTGGGGAGTATGAGGGGTAGTAGAGATGGGGGTGGGGGGAAAGAAAATAAAGGGAAGGTGGGGGGAAGTAGTGAGGGTGGGGGGTAGTATGAGGGTGGTGGGTTAGTAAAGGGTGGGGGGTAGTAGTGAAGGTGGTGGGGAGTAAGATGGTGGTGGTGGATAGGAGGGTGGTGGATGGAGTAGTGTAAAATAGTGGAGGGATTGGATAGGTTTAAAGGGGGGAGCATAAAAATTATTTCTTATTTTTTAAAATACAATTTTTCCTTTTTAAAAAAATCCAAACCCAAAAAAATTTTGGGGGGTTTTTTTTGGGGCGGGAAGGGATTAAGGGCATTTCAATTAATTTCAAGGGGGAAAATTTTTTTTTGATATCCCGGCAAATTGATTACACCGGGGGTCTCTTTGTAAACCCCCTTTAAGCCTGAGGGGGGGGGGCCCCTTTTAAAACAGCCTTGTCAATTTAAGGTTTTAAAAGGGGGAAAAATTTTAATAAAAAGGAAAAGGCCTGAAAACATGTTTAACTGAACAAGGAAGGTTGCTTATTTGCTAAACCGAAAATTTTTTAAAATTCGGGATTCTTTTTAAAATTTGGGAATTTGTTGAATTTTGTGTAAAACTGTCCAAATTATTGGGTTTCTGCCCGCACTTTAAAGAGTAATTCTGATAATTGAATGGGTTGTTCATTGTATGCAATCGATAGAATGGAAGGAATACCCACGAAACAGCTAGGAATTGGATTGAATTGAACAATAGAATTGTGATGAATGGTTTGAAAAACCGACAAGTTGAAGATTGAGACACTTATGCAGCATATGGAATCTTTATTCAGGAAACGTTTCGCCACACAGTGCTTCATCAGTCCAATACAAAGAGGAAGGCGTAAGGAGAGGAGGAGTATGAGGTAATCAGTCCCTCAGCCTGGAGTCGATGTGTTCAGTCCATCAATCTTGTAGAATGTACTGAATGGACTGAACACATCGACTCCAGGCTGAGGGACTGATTACCTCATACTCCTCCTCTCCTTACGCCTTCCTCTTTGTATTGGACTGATTGAAGCCACTGTGTGGCGAAACGTTTCCTGAATAAAGATTCCCATATGCTGCACAAGTGTCTCAACTCTTCAACAATAGAATTGCCGTAAAATAGGACTCAGAGTTTCCAAAATCGAGGTTGCGTAAATTCCAGCCACTGTCAACTTTGCACCTGCGTAATTCCATAAATTTTCCACCAAAATTTTTGGGAGTTTTGGAGTCATTACTTTCAAAAAAAGTTTCTTTTCCATTTCTGAAGAGTTTGTTTAAATTCTCAAAATTGGCCACTTTTAATTTCCAAGGGTCCCATAGGTGAAAGGGTTAAAAACACTAAAATTTTCATTAGTTACAAACATGAAAGAAATGTATGGTACAAGAAAATGTACAAGTGCTGTATTTTACGCAGATGACGTCTTCCCTTTCAACTGACGTGTGGTAGAACACCTGGAGAAAGTGGTTTCATAAACAATAACCCAATGTGATGGAACATCTTTCTTGTTTAGTTTTTTGACGAGAGGGTGGGTGGATTTCACTTTTTAAGACTGCAGATAGGCGTTTGATACTGTACCCCATAAGAGAATGGACCAAAAACTTAAGACTTCGGTGGGAATAACAGAGAACATACTCTTTTGTTTCAAAAAAGTATCTTCAGAAAGACAGTAAAAGTGCAACTGTCGGTAAAAAATTGCCCTCTCAAGGGAGGTTCCTTGATGCTGGTGGGGGGCACTTGATCTAGCGAATTGGATTTGTGCTTCGGTCCATGAATTGAGTCTGAAACCTTCCACCCTTTCCCCCACAGCGCTGTATAATCCTAGGGGTTTTAGGGCCCCCCATGATGATGATGATGATGATGATGATGATGATATAATAATAATAATAATAATAATAATAATAATAATAATAATAATGGTACTGTGGAAAATATTTGATAATTTTTCCAGAAATACAGGTAGTTATATGTATATAGATGGCCATACTGTATTTAATAATATTTATGTCATAGAAAAACGGAAGCCTGCTCTGCGCAGACGAGACTCGCCATCTTGGTTTTTGAATTTGGTTACAAATGTTGGGTAATGGGAAGATATTTTTCGTGCTCTAGGGGGTTAAAACTGGGTTGACACCCCTTCAAATAGGAGGCAAAATTGGTGATGTGCATTCCTGCATAACTTGAGATATCAGGAAAACTGGACAAGACAGCTCCAGGAACCTCAGATAAGTCTGTTTTATGTTTTAATTCTGCCAGTATTTTCAAAATTTAGACAGTGAGGTTTTCTGAGTATGATACCCCCTTAATCTCCATCAAATTGGTGAGTGATATTAAGATATTCTCTTTCTGTTATGAATTGTGTATATCTATAATTATTTTTAATTTTAATATACAGTCCACAAATTTATATATTTACCACATTCCTGGTGATGTATTTTTCCATTTGATAATTAATAGGTCCAGAGCAACTTGTGGATATGACAGTGGTAGATATCGAAGGGGGACATTTTTGCGACCTGGGTGTCCCAAAATTTTCCTACTTGTCTATGTAACCCTGAAAAATAATAATTATCTTTGTTATCATTTACTGTTATGTACATAATGAGTTACATTCAGATAAATGCAATTTTCCCAACATTTAA